TGAAGTCAGCTGATCTAGGAAGGGGACTAAGTGTGACGTCGTAAAAATCATGGCTGCTCCCAATCCATCAGGCCCTGTTTGGTTAGATTGAATGAGAACAGTTGAAGTAGTAAAATAGCTTGTCATGGCCACTTTCAAAGTTTCGAACTCAATTTTGGCAAAGAACTTGGTTATCAGCCGAGTACGGTCATGCGATCTTTTTTGATCAGTTACTCTGATTCCTTTGTGTTCAATGAGCTTCCCAAACTCGTTCTTAAATACTTCAAAGAGAGCAGCATTGAGCTTGATGGTAACCTGCATGCCATCGCGACTCGTGATCGAATAGTCGGGTCGATCTAAACTATCAAATTTCTTTTGAAGTGCCTTGGTCCGATTTAGAAGAAAGTTTTCAGTAACATCATTTTGATCATTCCTCATATTTTGATCATCCCTGGAGCCCATGACTTGTATCGGTCCTGGATTTATCTCAATGTCTCCAGAAAGTATCAGTAGAAGCACGGTCAGGTACAGTTTTGAACTTCTAAATCTTCTGTGGGCATGGGACGATCGCATCCGTGGAGGCATGGGTAACATTCCGACATTTTGTACCAGTCTTGCTTTGAGGGGACTGTACTCTGGATGTTCGGTGCTAACAATGAAACATCTCAGGGTAATCAGTATCAAAACAAATGTTCTCCAAACCGGACCGAACATGATGCTGTATGGATAACGTCCGTTGTCTTATTGCATATTGCACAATGAAAGTTCTCCACTAAAGACGTCACGTTTTGTTGGTAGGAGTTGGCCAAGTGAGTTTGTAGTAGTGAACAAACCATAAAACTTATGAAAATCGTTTAAATTACCTTATTTTGAGTCCCTTTTTTCCTCATTTTCCATTTAAAGTCACATTCTCTTTCCCGGCCTTGCGTTCCTCGAACCTTTCTTGTGCGAACAAGGTATGCCAAAGATAGCAATTACTCCTGAGCAAGAAAAGAAACGTAGAGAAGTAGAGGCCTCTCAACCATTCACAAGGCGTGGATAACGGAATATCACTTTTTGTCGTCACCACCAAAATTGTCAAGCTTGCAATTGTGGCCTATGACACAATGATGATAGCGAATCACAAATTACTTGTCTTCATCCTTCATCACTTCAAAAACACTAAGTAACCGATCAATAAAGACGGAGCTTCTGAAGTTGTACCCGTCAGCTGAACTATCAGCTGACCATCAATACTGACCAATAAATTATAAGTCGTGTCTGCGTCCGTCAGCCTTATGTGTCTTAACCCTCGCTCATGTAGGGGGGGGGTTGGTGCAACCCCCCCCCCCCTGAGGTTTTTCGGATATAGTGCAAAAACGGCGGCGCGCAGCGCCGCCAAATTTTGGGTACCTTATGGGGCAAGCCTTGCGCATCTTTTGATAAAAAAAAAATTTGACCGGGTCATGTCAGGTCACGGAGTTATGACGTCACAAAGGGAACAGCCTCCGGCCGGATTTTCACAAACTGAGTGCCAACGCCCGCGGTTTCCTGCCGGTGGTACGGACATCGGTTGATGGATCGTGATGAAACTTCCCATGCATGTTGGGGCAAGTATTGGCTATCATATGGTATAAGAAACTTGACCGGGTCAGGTCAGGTCACGGAGCTATGACGTCACAAGAGGAACAGCGTCCGGTACTATTTTTGAAAAGCGCCCGAACCACTATTTTGCTAATTCTTGTCACCTCAATGGGAATATGCAGCAATATTAGCTTCTATAGGGAGCAAATGGACATCCCAAATCCAAAAATACAATCAGATTTCAAAAATTTAAATTTTGATTTTTCGAATTTCTGCCGCCGACTGTGACCTTGCCGACTTCCGGCGCTCCCAACGCGCCATTTTTAGAGCTAGGGAAACGAAATACATACCAAACGATAGAGAATTGATCAAGGAACACGATAGTGAAGGTTTCAAGTCGATATCTCCCACCGTTTTGCCGCAATCGCCGCGGAAAATTTGAAAAAGTATATTTTTCCGAAAATTTGACCTTTGACCGGTCAAAAGTAGGTCAAATGTTGACCTAGGACCAAAAAATATACCACCAATCGCGAGATCTCGGCGAGAGCAATCCGTTGGTTTTTTTCCGCTAAGCTCTACGACGCTCCGTTTTCAAACGCCAAGGGGGGGGTCGCACCAACCCCCCCCCCCCCCTGCATGGGCGAAGGTGGCAGATCGCCGTTTACGGGCGAGGGTTAATGCGCCGGAACGGCGCCGCGTATCGACGTGAAATTTGTTGACCACAAACTTTGGGTGGGGCGGACCATCGTATCAAAAGATGGGCGCAATCGGACCAGGGGTGCGGCGTCAGCGCGTGAATCTCTGCCCCAGGCTGGCCGAGGCCGGCGCCGAGCAGAGAGCACGTGCTTTAGGCTCAGTTGTTCGCTTAAAAAACTGAGTGAAAACGATGAGAGCCAGCTCGGGAAGTCAACTCTGTGGATTTAAAGAATACAGGTTTGTGATTAGGATATAGGAAAGAATATAGGATGTGACCTATATCAATCGCTGTCACTCCCAGCCGTTTGGGCTACAGAGGTCAACAAAGATCACGACCATAAATTTGCACAGCAGATTGTGGCCCATCCAATGGAGCTAGAGTTCCGAAAATGGTACCAAACGACCTGCTGGGAATGGACCTACTTTCCCACTATCTGGCCTTAGGTGATGTAGCCCAAAAGGGCGTAGTTAAGGATTAGGTAAACAAACACACACTTGCACAGCAGTTGTTGAACACATGAATATGTAAGAGCAACTGCGATCAAAAGCATATCATTCGGTAGCCAATATAGACTATGTAGTAACTTTCGCCGCGAGCCGCTGCTAAATACAAATGTGACCTCGTCTGACCTGGGCAGAACATCAAATTGTGAACGTTTCTCGCTGTCCAGGTCAAACCAAGTGGATCCGAGGCGTCCCGAACCCGGGCTGGATCCGGGCGGAGGCCTTTAGCGCGCTGAATTCCTGAGCGTTACCAACGCTGCCCAGGTCACACGAGGTCACATATCTACTGGTGGTTTGCGGTGAAAGCTACAATGGTCTTTCTCTTTGAACTACCGAATGATGCTGCTTTTTTATCGCAATTATTCCCGTTCGCATATTCCAGAGCTGCAGTGCAAGTGGTTTTTGGACCTGACTCGTAAACGACCTAAGGTCATCGCCTAACCTTTAGTAGTTTAAACGATAGTAAGAAAGTAGGTTCCAGTCCTCGCGAGTCGTTTGGTGCCAGTTTTAGTGCTCTAGCTCCATTATGAGTGGGCAACAAGCTACCATGCAAATTTGGTGGTCGTGGATCTCCTCTCAGATATGAGGATCTTTTCGTCTTCTTCAAAAACATAATCTGCACGTCTATGTAGGATCTTTAAGTATCTCCCTACAATTACGAATGATCAAAACGGAAAGACATGATCCGTCATAAGCTCTATAAACAATGAAACATACATGTATACCAACTTTTTATGTAAATACCATGAATTTAAACCCAAGCTCGTTTCAGCAAGAGAAAAAAAACACGGCAGTGGTGATTTTCTAGGCTAAACGTTGTCCATGAGCTTCACCAGCCACCCGAGAAGATAACAGTCGATGTGAAAAATGTCAGCTAGTCGATTTTTCTTTTTCAATAAGTTTTAGAATTTAGACCCTAACTGAGATTGTTGTTTGTTTGTTGGGGGTAAAGGGCGCGCCGACTGCAAGGTCATTTTGCGCCCATACCTAAACCTAACTGAATTTAGTTATTCACATTTATGCTTAGGTACCTATATTTTGCGTAGGTGAAAGATATAGGCAAAAAGTGCGTGGCATATAAATGAGTAAGTTAGGTTAATAAGTTAACCCGCGCACCGACGGGGTCTGCGCCAACTTCGCACCGACGGGGGGGCGGATGACCGCCCCCCCCCCTCCTGAGATCTCGAGAACGAAGCAAGATAGCGACAAGCGGTAAACGGCATCGGATACGCACGGACAAGGTCTACAATTTTTACAAAGGTCATTTTCAGGTCAGGTCAAAGATGACGTCACAGGGGTCGAAAAAGTCAAAATGGCGGCGCTAGATATGGAGAGAGTTTTTCTCGAATAACTTTCGAATTAGCCAAGATAGGAGCAAACTAAGGGCATCATCGTGATCCTCTCGTCAATCCGCATCGAATGATATATATGTTGACCTCGAAAGGTCAAGGTCAAAGGTTGACCTCAGGTCACGTGACCTCGAGGTCATCATGTATATCATTCGATGCGTCTTGACGAGCTGAACACAATGAGACCGTCCGCGCGGCTGTATTTTGTTCCTGTACGGAGTTATTGGCAAAAAACCTTTGGTGACCTTTGATGACGTCACATGACCTTACAGCTGCCCAACAGCAAAACAGACCTCAAGGTAGTGAAGGTTGATCGTATATGAAGTCATGTATGGTATATGGGGCCATTCCGACCCGTTTTAGTGGTAAAAACAGGGAGTTGATTTTTCCCCCATTGACTTATAATGGGGAGGTCGCGAAATTGACCTGACCTTAGGTCACCGACACCAAAATTCCGAGATATACAAATTGCAGCTACTAATGACCTAATCACATCCTGCGACTTTCAAAGGCCTCCGACATCTACTGTAGCTCTGGCACGGTGACAAAGTTGCAAAAAAGTGGCTTGAGGTTGGGTCATTCAAAGTGACCTGGTGACCTAACCTTAAAAGTTAGGGGGTTCAAAATTGCACACCATGTGTAAAATTGATGAGAAAATAGTCGTACCAAATTTCGCGGCGCTACGCGCCGCGTTTTTTCCGCTATCCGCGAAAAACCTCAGGGGGGCGGATATCCGCCCCCCCGTCGGTGCGCGTGTTAATACATATACCTAGCGATTTGAAAAAGCTACAAGCTACTCAAATGCCCAATTCATTAAGAGCCCATAGATCAAGACGCCGCTCCTGAAACGAGCACCCGCCAACGCCTGTCTGACCGCGCGGTGTTGCGGTCATCCGCGTCCTCCGGTAGGGCTGGCACAATGTCGCGGACCGGAGCTGACCATGAGGGTGTGGTCAGTCGGTCAGCGGGCAGGCACTCCTATATAACGGCGGCCACCACCGCTAGCGGCACCAGTTCAACACACAACCAGTTCGCAGCAACATGAAGGCCGTAAGTATGCGCCCTTTTTGCAGAGTAGGGCTTCTTGAGAACCTTGATTTAGTATGAAACTATTTGCAGCGTGTTTAGCATCAGGTTGTGCTTAAAGGGACAGTATCACCATTTTGATGAAATTTGACATTGCATAGGCCCCACCTTTCTGGTCCGGGAACTGAAGACCGATCCTCGAAGCTCCACACCGTTATCCCGCTATCGCCGCTCAAAGTAAGAAAGGTGTACTACACTTTGAATCGTGCTTCACTATCTTCACTGTTTAAATGTTTGCGCCGTTTTGAATTGACCGCCAGTAATAAAACTTTTACCCTGGTCATTTCATCAAATTTTATAAAGCCAAAACGTTTTCGCACTTATTCATCACCGTTAAATTCATTAAATAGTCGTAGGCAATTTCCGCTGTTTCCTTCGGATTCTAGCGGCTCAACAAAGGAATTCCTTCAGCTTGAAGGAATTCCTTCAGCTTGTCACGTGATATCTTCTGGGCAATACCTAATACTGCCTTTCCCTAACGACAACTCAATCAGAAGAGCTGCCGCGTAAGCGTAGCGTCAATAATGTATTATCTGCGCCAGTTCTGTAGTAATTTCGCAGGCTTCCAAAGTGGCGGCCATGCTTGTAGTGGTGGTTCGCTCATGAAAATGACTCGCTCATGAAAAAATATTTTTCACCGAGTTCGGTCCTCAAACTATGTTTTTTCTGATTCAGAAAAATGAGAAATGCTAGTAAAAAAAATCAGCTCCATACATTGATTTTTTTCGATGGTACTGTCCCTTTAAATCAGTTTTATTACCATTCTTAAGTTGTAGCTATACATAAAACACTCATATGTACAGTCGTGTACAGGTTGATGGTCCCCTACTCTTTATCCACCGGGTTCCTATGGCTCAGCATTGGCAGCAGCCGCCTGGTACCGGTAGGCTGTGCCGCATGACCCGAGAGTGCAGCGGCACAGTCTACCCACGCCGTTTGACATCTGCTCGGGTCGCCGGGTGGAGCGCTTTGTAGACCAGCTGTCGCGTCAGACCAGCGCGGGGGGAGCGGGCTCGTCTCGGTGGTTGGCGTGGGCTGGCGAGTGGTGTGGGGCGTGTTGGTGGACCATGGGGGCTGGGCGGGTGTGTGTGGTCACTTGCTGCATTGCACATTTTGCGTCGCTTAACAATTGCATTCCTGTTTTTGCTAAGCACAATGCACGGAAGACCCAGCGAATATAATTTACTTGTGCATTGTGCAAAACGTGATTTGGCACGGTATCGAGGCAATCATAGGTCTTGTGCCACATATATGCATGATATTTAGGCAATACGCTTATGAAAATGGTAGATTGATCGGATTGATCCTGGATGTCAATTCGTATGCTAAATGTCGACATGTATTAAATGAACGAATGAATGAATCAATCAATCAATCGACAATCGACATGTGGGTATAAAACCGTATAAATGGCTCGCAACCACTAAAATCAAACCAGATCCTAACTCGGAAAAGTAGCCGGAGCCCCGATGAGGCTCGAACCGGGACTCCACGTTGAAAGTTTTGCAAATGATCCATCATCATTCCACCAAGCTAGAGCGACCGGCACCCGAAACCACAAAAACATTCATTGACTTTGCTCCCGACCTCCCGGCCCCGCCGCCCGCCCGGCCAGACTTTGCCCCGGCCGTGGTCACCATCCGGTGTAGCTCAGCGTAGGAGTGCTGGACTGTCAAACTGACCGGCAGTGAGAGGCCCGGTTCGAGACGCTTCGCGTGCTGGATGTTTATTTCTGTGTCCGAGGCTATGCGATTAGTCCACTTTTCAGAAAGATTATTTGGTGACAGGTCTGTTTTCTTTCTTTGCTGCAATTCATGAGGAGACCGTATGGACCCTTACCTGTCCTTTCGCACCCCACTTGGGAGATGGGTGTTTAAACCCCCCTGGGTTTTGTGATATCTATAAAGCGAATTTTTGGAGGGTGGATTACGATCGGTTCTATGCGGCAAGTGACCACACACACCCAGCCCCAGGTCCGCTCACTCCCTCCCCACATCACCCCCGCCCCACACCACACTCCAGCCCGCCTCATCCACCGAGCCGAGCCAAATAGACAGGCCTGACCCTTACCCCCCCCCCCCATCCCCCCAGCCGGTGTAACGCAGCGTCCGGTCAAATCGCTCTACCAGGCGACCCGAGCCGGTGTCATACAGTGTGGGTAGGCTGTGCCGCTTCACTCTCGGGTCATGCGGCACAGCCTACCGGTACCAGGCGGCTGCTGTCAATGCTGAGCCATAGGAACCCGGTGGATAAAGAGTGGCGGACCATCAACCTGTACACGACTGTACCTAATTGCTGGTACGCTTCAGCTACAAATTACGAAACGTCATATTCACTATTCAATGGAATGATTTTCCTTCAGTTCATCATTGCCGCTCTGGCGCTGGTGGCCGCCGCCGACCGGCCGGCGTACCCGACCCCGGCCTACGGCCCCCGGCCCGCCTACCCGGCCCCGGCTCACGGCAGCTACAAGCCCATCGCCATCCTCGAGGAGGAGAGCGTCCACCCCGGAGATGGCACCTACAACTTCCACTTCAGCACCGAGAACGGCATCTACAGGTCAGTAGGTACTGGATATGCTTACATTTAGGTACAAATTGGCGGCCACGTTGCTCTGGCGTGGTATAAATGTTTCCATAACCCAAGTCACCCAGTTAGCCATGCAGTACTAAGGTTTTTCTCTACCGTACAGGTCTGAGAACGGCGTGCCTCTGCCCGGCTACGGCAAGAACGCCTACGGACAGCCCGAGGGCAGTTACCGCCAGGAGGGCTCCTGGAGCTACACCGACGGATACGGAAACCCCGTCAAGGTGACATTTGTCGCCGACGACAACGGCTACCAGCCGTCCAGCGACATCCTGCCCACCCCGGTGCCCACCGAGTACCCGACCCCCGAGGTGGACACCGCCTACGTCGAGCCTGCCTACGGCAAGCCCGCCTACCAGCCCGCCTACAACTAAGGTCACCCATGGAGTACAATAGTAGTGATTCATTTATTGTATTTATTTGATGTTTGTGTGTAATTTATGCATTCATCATTGTCCACGTCATGAACAAAATAAACGTTTCAATGATTGTATTACTTCTGAATAGCATTCCTTGGGATGCCAGGTGGCGAATGTGTGTTTAAAACGCCCTTCCCCCAGCACGGCGCGAGTTTAAAGTGACCATCCCACCTTAACATTAGTTTTGAGTTGAGATAGCCAAATTGGTGGCCATGGCCTGCCAATACCGGTTTGGGCACTCACAGCATCGAAAAATGCTTTAATTCGGAGATATGGAATTTCAAACTTGCAGTTTTCGGATTCTAAGGGGCTAATGCATTGAGATGCCCCCTTAGAATTTGTGACGTCAGCGGTGATCCAACGATTTTAAAACTTTATACTAATATCTTTGTGAAGCAGTGGTGGATATATGCTATTTGCGCGCAACATCTGCCGCAAACGCCGCACTTCCAAAATGAAGTCGCAGGAACAGCGGAGATCCCTAAAAGTAAACAAAAGTAAAAGTCTAATATCTTGAAAACCGGTGAATATTTTTCGGAGAAATTTGGTATATTCTCGTTTTTGCTCTTTCTGAACGAGCGACATCACTTTCATGCATATTCATTAACTTTTTTGAAGGTGGAAGGGTCCCTTTAACCCTATTAGTGGCAGGCTCCTGGCTACCCCTATTAGTGGCAGGGGGGGGCTGTTTACGACCCCCCCCCCTTGATATCTCGAGATCTAACGGGCCGATTTTCAAAATTCAAACGGCATTCGATTTCACTCAACGTGATCTACATTTCCTAAAAATAAAAATTAAAAAATGTCAATAGGGGGGGGGTAGAGGGGGGTAAAAACGGGCAAATTGCAGATACATTTTAGACTGTTTATCACGGCCAGGTTTCTGAACCAATCCTAGCGCAACTTTTGCCGATCGATGGAGAATGAACCAGGAATTCACATGGATCCTAAAAATATGCATTTTCAAAAATCATAGGCGGATACAGATAATTGAGATTGGGGGTACACAAAAAGTATAGTAAATAAGGTTTTTGTTGGTACTGTTTCTAAAAAGGGTGGCAATGGTCTTGTTATGTTACAATTTTCTTATGAGAAAACGACTACAATTGTATTGGTCATGCATAGGCGGTGTCAGGGCACCTATGTTGGGAGGTAAAACATAACCCCCCTTTTGGACGCCTGGATCCGCCTATTATAGCAAAAACGTGTCAAAAGAGGATGCACAATAACTTTGTATATGTTATCACATGATACCTTTCATTCAATGTTCGTAAAACTGGTGTATACAGTTATAATACATCAGCATCGTGATCTTCGCCCCAAATGACTCGCTTCACGAATAGGACCCCCCAATTCCCAGTGCTCTGGAGCCGCCCCTGGTAAAGGTATGAACTTGAAATTTTCAGGGAATGTGCCCAATTTAGTTTTAGGAAAAGTCAGAAAATTTCAGCATCGTAGCTTCAGCGGTTTCGGAGATATTCCCGAAAACCCTGAGGGGTGGATAAAAACAACCCCCCCCCCTGCCACTAATAGGGTTAACCACTAACCAGGGATGCGGAGCGGTGGAAATTTCAGACGGCTCCGACTCCGGCTCCGGCTCCGGGTGAAATGCCATGGCGGCTCCGGCTCCGGCTCCGAGTTAACCCGCGCCCCACTGGGGTCTGTGTATAACACGCCCTACTGGGGGGGGGGGGCTATTCATAGCCCCCCCCCTCCTAACTCCGAAACTACTGGGCTGATCGTCAAAATTCAAACGGCGTCTGATAGCCCCGGAAAAACTGTCGAGCGAAACCTAATTTCATTGACCTCGAGGTCACTGATGACGTCACAGGTCAGGTCAAAGTAAAAATTATTAGCATTTTGGCTTGTTCACATTTTGGGCTCTGGCCGCCGTCTTACAAGTCAGATCATGCTCATTTTTGGTTTCCACACTCGTGAACAGATGCTCTAGATACCTTGAGGGTACCAAACTTGTACTTTGATTTTCAGGTCAGGGTCAGGTCATCAAAGGTCACGGAAATATTATATCATGCGTCGGTCACGTGACACATGTTTTATGGTCCATTTAGGCCATAGATTTCGAATTCGATGTCGTCTGTGTCATTTGAGGTCATTTTGAGTCGAAGTTAGCTTAGGTCAGGTCACTTTCAGGTCAAAAAGGTCAAATTTTGAAGTTTAAATTTTTCAACAAAAAAGGTGTCTATTGGATGCAGTTTGAGCTCAAGAACACGATGGTGCCATTTATATTGGTGTACGATGTCAAATACGTACTGAAAAATTGATTTGAAAAATTAATAATTGTGAATTTTTTGCAATAATGCGTATAACTTGGCCATTTTTGAAGATATTTAGCTAAAACTTGCTAGAGTTAGTCATAATCATGCGTTCTGTCACATATATTCCGGTTTTTTCGAAAAGTCAAAAACTTTTTGAAAAAATATAAAAATATAAATTTTGAATATTATTATACAAAATTTTCAAAATTTTCAAAACTTTGAAAATCCGAGATACCAGTTTGATAGCGCGGTCAATTCTGAGTCCTTTCATGCAAAGAAATTGGATCTAGCTTAAAAACTGAGCTCTTGGGAGCGATTGCCGTGGTTCAATGTTTTGCGTCGAATTCGGACGAACATGACGTCATTCTGACGTCATTTCCGGCCGACCTATGGTAGCTACGAAGTTCAGATTTTGACACAAGGTGTCAAATTGATGCAGCCAAAGGTACTGAAAGTTTGGCGTCGATCCGTCAAGTGGTTTGGAAGTTATTGCGGAAAAACGGGAGGGGGGGCTATAAATAGCCCCCCCCCCAGTGGGGCGCGGGTTAAATGGTCCGGCTCCGGCGGCTCCGGTTCCAATGCTCAGTAGGTAGGCATATTAAATACGGGTGGCCGAAAAAAGAAGACGGGATTGGTGCACGTTGCTTCTGCATTTGCATAACAAGGCCATTTTCATATTTTGAATACAGCATGTTTTACTGCACCTGGAACTGCAAGTTCAAGGCAGTTCGGTTTGACAAACCGAACTAGGTCAATAAATAATTGTTTTCTCTTCAAAAAGGAGCAAAACCGGCGAGAAAACTAAATTTGGGGGTACCCTAGGTTGATCTCTATCATGGTGTGCCCCCCCCCCCCCCCCAGTCTGAAAGTAGTTCCCGCGCCCCTGTTTTTGACAGCTCCCGCTCCGGCTCTGGCTCCGGTTTATATTGTTCACGGCTTCGGCTCCGGCTCCGGGTGAAGGGGTTTCACGCATCGGAACCGGCAACCTTTTATTGGTTCCCCCCATGTACAGAAATTACGTTACACAAAGTTACTCTACAATGCCCGCCTGCCACCCGGGTGCATTAAACTAAGCGGCCCGTATCGATTGTTCGTTCACGTTCACCGTGTATCAGCCCGGCATCTGCCTTCACCCAATTCAAAGATTTGACTCACATTCCCATTACACTGTATTTTGGTCTTGCGGGACAAAGTATTAATCTCTCGGATCCTTTCTCTCACGCACATTATACACATCACACTTACAATCGCTCACTCATATACGCCACGCGCCTCGCCGGTTAATCCAGAATTGGAGGATCAAAAGCATGCGATAGCATGCTTTTGCATCCGGAAATTCCCATTGGTGGGTCGCTGAAAAAAAGTTCGGCTGAACCAGCCCCACGGACGTATAAATAAACTGGACCCGCAACCACCTCCATTCAGGTGAAGCCGACGAGGCGCCATTTTACGTTGCCAAAAAACCGTGCTCTGGAAGGTCATCGAGCCAATACAATTAGAATTGCGTCCAAACGCATGATCGGATCGAGATGCTGGTGGTACCGTTCGACGGGTAATTCCTTGAGGCAGGTGATGATGGATGTCACATGTCACCCGGTGTCACATGGCGCGTGCCACGTGCCAATAAACTTACAAAGGGCAAAAACCTTTAAGCGACGCCTCAAATCAAACGAAGGGCGGCACAGGTGCTAAACTCACAGGTCACATGTCCCAGTGTTCGACCACTAACATATGGTATGCTCGGCATCAGGGGGTGCGGAATGCACGCGCTAGTGGCGAAAAACATGTTTTGAGGAGGCATCCTCCGATTCCGGAAAACCTTGACCTAGGCACACCAAATTTGGCACACTGACACTACTGGACACGCGCTTTAAGGTGCTGTACAAATAAGCGTGCTGGGGTACACGGTGCACGTGCTGTGCACGTGCAAACCTTTTGATGTTGCACTCAGGGGGGTACGCTCCGGCTGTTTAGCATTACGAAAAATGGTGACAGACGTTTGTGGAGGATTGTCGACGAACTCTTGTTCCGCGAGCGGTACTTACACGCTAGCGGAAAATTCACCAATCAGCGCTCAGCAGTACTCGACGCTGATTGGTCCGACGCTCGTGACGAAATTGTGGGGGACCACAGTTTTTCTCTATGGACCCGAATAGGCTTTTGGATTTCGGAGGGGTTTCGTTTCTTTAAAATGATATGCTATTTCGAGCTGTTTTCGAGTTGAAATATATTTCTTATGACTGTCAGCTATATAATATGAACACACATTAAAGCAAATTCAAAAACGACCTTTCCGAAATCACACCTCGGTCAGACTGAGGGACACGATTCGCGCGCCGTCACAGCCCCGTGCACAGAGCACCATCCCAAGCTACCGCAGTCGCTTACACAATTCGCTCATAGAACAGCATGTAAGCTTGCGCCTTGAGCACCTTGTCCAGAGTCACCTCTGTGACGTGCGTGTCACTCACGTAAAACCACCGCCCGGCCTCCGGCTGCGGCTCCGGCTCCGTCTCGGGCTCCGGGGCGGGCTGTTTTTGATCCGTCTGTGACTCCTGTGGCGCGGCGGCGGGGTCCTCGCCCTCCCCGTCTTCCCGGCCCTCCTCTGCGGGCCTGACCGGGGACGGTCCGTCCGTGGTCTCCGGTCGGGTCTGCTCGGCGCGCTGCCTCGCCCGCTCACACGCCACGGCGAACGCGTCGGTGACGAGTGTGGTGAGTCGCGCAGGGTTGACGGTGAGCTGGTCGTGACGGCGGCGCACGCGCACGTAGGCTGTGTAGTGGCCGCTGGTCAGTCGACCGCT